TTTTTTTTTTGCCGTTGGGCGCCAATATGATGTTGCCAGATGAATTAAAATAACTGATGTCTGAGTAAACAGGAACTTTATTCGTTCATGTAACAAATTATACAAAACACACGGATACGTAGATATTACAGTAAACGTACAATTCCTAAGGGTGGTTCTTGGAACGGGCTGCGGGGCTACCGCGTTCCTTAACCTCCTAGCTGATGCTTTTTCTGAGGGCTGCGGGGCTACCGCTCAGATCAAACTTGGGCAGACGAGTGGACTGCGGGGCTATCGCACTCGTTGCCGTCTAGCTATCGAATGTCATAACTGGCGTGCTGCGGCCTCTTAAATAGCGATCGTTGACGTCGTAGTGGGGTGGCAATGCGTAGATTACTCGTGGTTATCGTTGTGTGAGTGAGCGCGTCACAGTGCAGCGTTGTAGGTAAAATGTAGCATTGCTATACTTTGAATTACTTTTAACTTAAATAGAAATTCATTTTAATAACCAGCTACATTAATATAACTTTAATAATTTCAACTTGTACCTGTGTTTTATTTGTGTACTAACCTTAAACAGATTGCTATTTTCATTTTAGTAAGTGATGCACTTCCGCATATTCGTACCTATTAGTTTTTTGATGGGCTTGAATTTTCCAGTCGATTAATAATAATAATAATAAGAATAAGTTTTCATCAACAGATATCCGAAAGCAATTAAAAACTTCTTTTCATCGTTTCTAAGTCTATCTTATAACTTCTCAAATAGTTTAATACACCCAGATTATTCATTTATAGGCTGTACCCAAAACCTTCTGCTCTGTAGGCGGCGAATCTGTTGGCGCCTTCGATTATACCATTAAAAAAATACAACCAAGCGTGGATGGATCTACTCACTGTGACAAATATGTGAAGAAGTGAAGACCGCGACTCTCAAATATTAAGTGTATAATCTGACTGGGGCAATTCGTTTTTACACGAATGAAAACCTACCGTATGAACATCAGGACGATTGTACGTTAAAATAACAAATACAAAGAAAACGTGCAGGACAATGCCGTGTGAACCCAAACGCGAATAAGTATTAAGCACGGAATAGATAAATAAGGTTGGAATGGTAATGTAGGCGGGGCAAGCGTGCCACAGTTATGATTGTACAAACATAACTCGACCGATTCTTTCATTCACCGCGTTTAGTGCGCTTCGGAATACTTTGGCGAACAGATCTCCGCTTTATAGTGCCGTGTTGTGCAATTATAACTTGTAAAACAAAAAATCAGACCTCAAGTATAGAGCGAGGAGGTATATCTTTCGATCGGTAAGTCGAAATTACCATTTAATTACAATATTATTTGTCTGAAACATAAAAATATACTGAGCATTATGAAATTCCAAACATTAACAATATTATTGCAGCAAGTTATAAATAGCATACATTGCGCGATGTGTACTCGCCCAATGAACGCAATGACCAAGTCAGCTTCCAATGTACTACATGCATTGCGTTCTCTACACTTCAATCTTTGAAATTTCGGCCTTTGCCCTGATTGGCCGTGGTGCACTGCGCTAGTTTGTCGATAGTGAGGTGACCATGTGGTGAAATAAAATCATCGACAGAATTCTCGACTATATTTACATTTGACATGGATAATTTTTGCATTATTTTATATTTAATTAATGATACCTAGTATATTCTTAGTGAGACGTATTTTGAGTAAAATAAATATGTATTATTATTATTGAATTATTATCATTGAATTAAAGTGAAGGTATAATATAAAGGGACATGTAGACCTCTAATTTACGGGTATTTACTATATTGTCTAAGACGTATTAAAATCTAAGTAAAATGCTATTTGACTTATGCAGTAAATTAAAAATTTTAGGTTTCCTAAAGAACCTAACGCCAGGGAACAATGGATTGACGTGACAGGTAGAGGAAACTGGAGACAAAGACGAGTACTATTTGCTCTAAACATTTTACTGAAAATGATTTTATCATAAAAAAAATCAGAATACACTTAGTTTTGAAAAATTCATTCGCAATTAATAGCAAGCGCCAACTGCTTAACAAATACGTTTTATTCCAGCGACAGTGACTATTTGTAATTAATAAAAGTAAAATAGTTTTTTTTTTCAATATTTATTTCATGTTTCATTTTCTCCATTCATTCATCAGATAATTTATCGATAAAGAATATCGATTTTATCAAGCACTAGCGTGTATGAACATTTTTATTGCCTTTTTGCGTGTGTGAGTGTGTATGCCTACGGGTGTTTTGTGCTAGTTTGCGAACGAATATCTGTCCTGAGATTTATGTGTGGGTGTTTTTGTTGTGCGAAATACTTGTAATCACAGTGTGTGTATGTGTAGAAATAAAATAGTGGGGATGAAGCGGCGACATTGGTTCTAATAAAAAATTAGAGCAAAGGCCTTTCCAACCTTATTTATCTATTCCGTGGTATTAAGAGTCTGTAAGAGACACTTAATAAAAAACTCGTTAGTGGCATTCACACAGAGATCTATAGATTTCGCACTATTTCATCGAGTCCTCCAACAATACAAGATGATGCGTTTTGCCTTTACCCTCCGTCATATATGATATGATACTTAATGGCTAAATCTATTTTCAGTTTTTAAAAACAGATATTTATAGCTCTTACTGCATTTGAATGAAACAATCATAAAATTCCTTATTTTTTATTACAGTTCAAGTAAAGTGTAAGGCTAATTAGTGGTGTCAGTTATATTATGTTACAGTGCGTAAAACTTAACAACAATTTAATTTAGTACAGTTTTTTTTAAACGGTTTTTTATCATCGGAAATGTGTGAAGTATTTTTAAGAATTTCCAACTTAGATTTTGTTTTGTTTCATCAGAGTATAGGGTTATTATTGCCCAATTATAATGTACGTGATCGCGACTATGAATCAAAGAAACTTGTAATTTCAAATAAATTACTGATAACAAGTCCTGAAGCTTGATTTTTTTTAATAGAGCTATATAAGATTGAATTTTCGTTAAAAACTTTTTTTTTAATAAGTTTAGATATTAAATATTTTGTTATTTAGTGACAAAGTATTATTCTGAATTTCATATTTCTTAAAATTACTCATTGTATTTTTACTTTTCTAATTTCAAGATGTTGTCAACATGTGACATCTGTCATGTTTGTTGGTGCAACTAAATCAATAAATAAATAAATAAAAAATACAACATATAAAGAAAATCTTGCAGCACACATTTCCGATTGATTATTAATTTAGTTACATTTCAGTCTATGGAGAAAGGAAGATTTTATGAATACTTGAAATATTCTCAACAAGATACTTTTTGCTCGATTTTACGCCATTAATATGTTCTGTATATTAATGGTATGAAAAACGTAAGTGTTGAATGAAGCGAGAATATCATTTATAATAAATGTACGTACACGGGGGACGAACAAACCCGACTTAAATATATTCAACTTTTGCTGAAAGTTTTATCTTTCGGGAATACCTAAACGAGTTAAAATTTTGACGTTTTCGTTTTCCCGCCCCCTTGTTGAGAACTTTTCATGCAAAATGGCGGATCGGATTAAATGACCAACGAAACATATTTTGTTTCCGAATTGAAAAAAAGGCGCCCGATATTTGAACATTCGTTTGTGTATATTTTTCATCTTTTTTTCTAATGTAAAAGATACTAAAAGATCGCTTAGTTTATGTAAAAAATAAGCCAATATTTTTACAATAACTTTAATTCTAAAAGGCCATAAGGTACATTAGGGTGCATCGACGACCTTGTGTCGATCGAGATAAGGTCGTGATTCGTGAACTACTAAGTTTTTTGGTCATCAAGAATGTTCTACGTATCTATATTTTTATGTACATTTATTTTTATAACGCCACAGCCAGTTTTGATAAATGAATTTTGATATTTTAGTCTAAAGATGGTATTTCTCTCGATTTACACTTACGCATTGGAGAATAAATCATCGGACTCTAAATAGCATCTATAGACTCATCGACACATTTCTGCTTTCATCATAGACCTAGTTTAGTTTTACTAATACTAGATAATTTATAATAAAATTGTACAATACAAATTGACAGATCATTCGATGAATTAAAAAAAAATACAAATCGAGATTCAACAATGCCTATTTGAATTATGGAAAATTATCACAATACAGAATGTTCATTGGATATTTCTGGTACAATCCGCGGAAAGTTTACAGGAGGTTATTCAACATAATTAAACCTTTTGGAAGTTGCTAAAAAGCTCTCTTTAAGCTTTCGTGATCGATGTGGAAAGACCAAGAAGTCAATGAAATTATTTTTACAATAAGTACGTATATAAAAAACACAAGATATATTACAAAATTATAGCACCAGTTTATATGAAACACAACACAGACGATTCACTTCCAGGTAAACGAATGCAAACTCAATTCATATTACGATCAAATCCCAAATTGTTTTTCTTTTTGTATAATTTGTTCCCTTCGGTTTTCTCTATATCTTAATGGGGAAGCAACGTTTTAGATATAACAAAACTAAAAATGCTGTTTTTTTTAGTATTTATTGGCTTGTCCAATTGTCGTGCGATAACGGGGCAGCATTTTCGCGAAGCTTCCTCCAACTTAAAAGCTTAAAGCTTTCTCTGTCGTAAAAATATTATCCGGGCAGAGCTTCTTGCTCGGCGCATGCACGCACGGCTGGAAAACTAATCCCGTGAGGCTGAACAAATTACCTAGGTAAATTTGAGCTTATCTGGTAGGTATATAAATAACACGGAACGGCAATGAAGCAAAGAATAAAGTGCCAACAGTGAAACTTCGTTTCTTGTCCAATACTGATTTAAAAAAAAAATTGAATTGTCATTCGAATTCTAACTACACTGAGATCTTAAAATTCAAGGTGGTAGCGCCATTTACGTTATATATGTCTATGGGTTCCGATAACCATTTAAAACCAGGTGGTGATCTGGGCCATCCATCTACGCATATATAAATAAATAAAAAAGAGAAATTTGACGTAATTTCAGCGATAGCTAGTCGCTGCAGCGCCTTTCCACTGGAATAAATTACTCAGCAAATGCATGTCAAGCGTCGTAATTATTGCATTTGGTTAGAGGTCCCATTACAGTTTATAAAATTTTGTAATTTGAAACAACCCTTGGTCAATGTTTTTTGCGACTTTCCAATTTTATCACGACCCTCTCCATTTCCTGCCCAGTCCGGATTGAATGCTCTTCGAGTACGGCTTATGATGGACATCTATTCAAGAGTAGCGTGCTTCTTTCGTAGCTCGCTAAGCTAAATTGATAGACGATTTTGATTTTTTCAAGGACCATTATTGCCATGCAACATAAAATTCTTCGTTTGGCGTTATTGTTACGATCAACAAAGAAGGTAGACTTGAAATGTTTTCATTCTTATAACCAATTGCAACAATAACGGTTTTATCGTCATATTAATGGACCTTTTTTGGAGTGAAAGTGTGCTAAATCTGTCTGTAAGCCAAATGGTTCCTCAAAGATATCTTGAAGCCGGATAGTAACTGAAATGTCTACCAAAAACCGTTCTCTTTAACAGAGACGCCTCTACCTTGCTATGGTGGCTTCTCGGATGCTCGAGCACAGATTGATCAATAAGCTAAATGATGAAAAGGGTTTTAGTTGATTGAATCATGCCTCGCCTATCGCCCTCAATACCTACGCGGAAGACCGGCGAATTCCTGCTGACTAAAGAATCAGAGATCACCAACTGTGCGATATAAACTTTTATTATATCTATTACAAGAGTTTTTTTGTTACTGTCGGCACTTTATACTTCTTAATAATACTGCAACAATATACAATTTCTCTCTGTTCCATCAAGTCTTACAATTAATCATTTTGATTTGTACATAAAACAAGACCAAAAAAAAAATGTAAATTGAAAAATTTGTACAAAAATTATTTTTATTTTCTTATTCTTTTAAACTGTGCAGTAAAAAGTGATGTGTTGTTTGTTCCTTATATATAAATATATTTAACTAGTAAAGCGTAGTTTTTATTGTTTATAAAATACTTTGAGCTCATTCCGCACTGTGAGTGTACTATACTAAAACTAATGTGCCTTAATTTTTCTTAAAATTTAGCTAAAACATTTCCATTATTCGTTCTTTTCACTCAAATACTTTGTTAACTTACTCTGGATCCAATCTAATTTGTTTTACGAGGGGCAAGCTATTGATACATAGTAAAAATGTATGTGTTTGTTCACTGTACATTCTTAGGGCATTCATTTGATTGTGATGAAACTTAGTGTAGTTGATACTGACAGTCGAAGGAAGGTTTCTACTATAGTTCCCTCTACATACAGCACAAGGTGGAAGAGTAGTTTCAGGAAATGTGATCACATTCACAACAATAGTCACTACAGAATGTGAATGTTCATATTTAATTAGTTACATGTTACTTAACATTTTGATTGTGAAATTGAGAACATTGATCCTTCGAACAGACAATATCTCACTAAATTTTTAAAGCTAAACTTGCCAACCCTCTGCTGGGTAAAATACCTGTAATACAAACCTGCATGAATCCGGTCAATAATAGTTTTTTACTTTGTTAAAATTATGTTTAACTTCTAACAGAAACAAATGAAAAGAAAACATAATTCATAATAGAAGAATAAATGGTACCTGCTACATGCATGTTTGCTGTCTTTTTGCAAGTTATATAATTATTAGAATGTGAAGGAACAATCACTTCTAAGTAATGTTTTAGCTAAATTAAATTATTTTTAATATAGTTTTCTCAGTTCAAAGATTTTTTTCCTTGCTGTTCCGAATATTATGGACTGTTTATCTTAATTGTACAGATATGACTCAATATTTGACTAGCATAGTTTTTGTATTGTTACTCTCAGATTCAGCTTGCTTTGTTAACATTAATTGTACCCTTGGACTTTGAGGAGTCTTGAGGTGGCAAGGGTCTCGCAATTCCTACTTTGACTGTCCCCCTCGGAGCACCTTTGAGGGCCTGAACAGCTTGGTCTAATGTCGCATTTTTTATGCTGACTCCATTCACCGACATTACCCTGTCTCCTGGTGATATTTCACCATTCTTCTCTGCAACTCCGCCGGGTACTAAACTCCTAACAACAATGACTGTTCCATTTGGATCTACTGGATCTTGGTAATCTAATATTGAAAAACCAAGTCCCTGATCAGCTTTGACAAGCATCACAATATCCTCTTTGCTCTGCCACATGGCTAAACCAGACACACACTCAAGAGATCGGGATTTCTTAGACTGCTCTGAGTGATTAGTAAGAGTTGCTGTACTTGATGTGTTTATAGACGTATCTGACTGTGCTTTTACTAATGTTGTGAGGTTGTTTAGGCTTCCGGATATAATTTTCCTCGCTTCAAACCCTTCTCGATCTGATGCTAAGTTTACAACAGGGCGTGGTCCGCTGTCTATGCTGTTACGTGCACATACCAATCTTACTCTGTCTGGTAGTTGTTTTAGAATGTTTACAACTTCCGAATGTGTTAAGCCATGTAATCTATATTCATTGACTTCGAGCAGTTCATCACCAGCATTTAGTACACCCTGCAGTCCAACAGGCCCATCTGGAAGCACAGACCTAATGTAGTGATGAGGTCTCAACTCTTGCCCTCCTTCCACATCCACAGTTCCTTCAAGGCTGATCCCCAGTCCTTCTAACTTTTTTATTTCAGCCACTAATATTTCTTTGTCAGATCCAATTTCTTCTTTCCACTTCTTTACAATGTCCTCTTTGTCAACAGCAAGTATTTCATCAAATCTTTGGTCCAGCTCTTCTTGTGTGGGCTCCTGAAGATCTCCCACCTCTAAGACGCTGGAATCAATTGTAGTATTTGATTCTGGTTCAGGTTCTATTTCTGTTATACTATTTTCGAGTTGAGAAGGCACTGGGAACCAAGAAAGTGTTGTGGTGGAGGGTGATGGTGAAGTTGGCCGCTCCTCGTTAAATATAGCTAGTTGTAGATGTTCAAATTTTGGACCTCGAAGATATCTCTCTAAAACTAAGTGAACAGAAATACCTGTGTTCCTCAATATCTCCACAGACTGGGGATTACTCTTATCGGCTAATGATATACCATCCACTTCAATAATTCTATCATTTATTTTAATTTTACCACTTTGTTCAGCACTGCTGCCCTCGATTATACTTTTAACAAATATTCCAGAGAGCTCCTCTTTTTCACATACATATCCCGCTACCGTGATACCTAGTCCATATACATTCTTATTTAAATCCACATGAATAATTTCAATTTCAGGTAACTCTACTGGAACAGTGATAGTGATGGTTGGTGACACAGAATCACATACAATAGGATGATCAGGTATTTTCTGTGGATTGTCACCAATAACACTAACCGCTGCTGCCACTATACTAGTTTCCGTTTCGCCATTCTGCCCATTGATATTATAGTCACTGTAACATTGAGATAAGTCATACACTGCACCGTAACCAGTTTCGATGAGATGACGGTCGAGAAGCTCCGGATCAGCAAGGATTTTGGTCGGCACGAGCGCTGTGCCGGGTTGCGGGGCACGGAGAGCGGTCGCAGGATCCGCTGGGCGCGCGACCAACAAACGGACTACTGGTCCCGCCTGCCTCAATACAGCAGCCACCTGCTCCGATGTGAAGCCGCGCAGGTTCACGGAGCCCACCTGCAGCACGTGATCACCGCTTTGCAGTCGCCTGTCCTTGTCAGCCACACCTCCTGGCAGTACGTATTTTATCACGACGCCGGTACTCCTGCCGCCGACTAGGTTGAAACCCAAGCCGTTGCCATCATTAGTGAGCTCGACAACTTCAACTTGTGCCCATTCGGTACTTAGAACCATCGCGGTTCGCCTCACCATCACACTACACGCCCGCGATGTTACGTGATACACACAGCTCTCCCGCTGAGGTTATAAAACTCCGGGGAACGCATACCGTTTCGGTTCTAAATCTAATTTACTTAAATCTCGAAGCCGAACGTGAGAAAAATTAGCTCACGTTGTTTGTAACGAAAAATAACAATTTAAATTTATAAATAAAATGACATTTACATACTTGCTGAATCGGAGACAGCGAGTGTGGCCAGATGCTGGAGAACTTTTCATAGAATAAATTAAGTGAAATATTTTTCTGTCACAAAATGTCAAAATATTTTATTTATATTCTGATTTATGTAAATAAAAATCACCGTTTTTTTCAATCTTTAAGTTGTTTTTTCATTTCTATTAGATTTTTCAGATATACGAAGGGAGCCTTGAAATAAAGTCAAATAAAGTCACAGTGTATCATTATCTATCTGATTTTGAACTAATTGGAACTAGTATGTTAACCGAATTTTTTTACGTACGGGCTAAGAAAATTGTGTTATATTTAAAATAAAATAGAACTATTTGATACAGGTGATAAATTTTGTTAAAATTAAAATTATTTTGTTATTTGCCTAAATTGCCACAGTCTTTCCTGTACATTTGGCAGCCTCTGAGCTCTGCTAATGTTTTGATGTAAAAAGTTCGTTTCCCTAAGCCAAAAGCATTCTTTTTTTTTAATTACCCAAATTAGATGATTCTTTAACATTAAAATAAGCTAAAAAGATGTTTAATTTTTATATATGTGAGAAAATGACTTTCCATAATTTGTTCATTTCCACAAAATCTACAGGAATCTCATCTCATGATCGTATCGTAAAGTGCGTAGGGTAGAATGGCTTGTTACTTAGTTATAGATTTGTGCATGGTAATTATGATGCATTTGACTGAAAAAATTGAGTAATATTAGGAATTTGACCGAAGAAATAAAAAATATACTATTAGTGAAACTATTCTGCGAAACGTAAACCCTAAGCTTAATAAAAAAAAAAGAATACACAGGAGTTATGAGTAAAGTAATATGCATTGATAATACCTACACTGTTTTAAGGCGAGAGTCTTAAATATTATGTGTATTATCCGTGCGAGAGAGGATGAATAAGACTGACTTGGACTTTTTGGCGGGAACACGAGGAATGAGGTTGGGGGATTTTATTTTGTCTATTTAGGATTTCTTCGGGCTTAAATGTATAACTACATCGGTGGTTTATCAACTATTTAGTATCTGTGAAAGTGCATATATGTGGGAAAATAAAACAAATCCGCTGGATGTAACTTCTCGGGATCTTACAAAAAGTCCACTGAAAAAGTCTCAGTAAGTTACCACCATTTTACTGTGATTATATTTCATCTCATATCACCTCATCTCATTTAATTTAATTTCACTCTATAGTATCATTTTTCATAAAAATAAGAATATAAATTAAAATAAGACTTGACCTAAAAGTCTTTGTTACCAGATCCTAAAATCCCTTAAAAAATTACGCTAACTTAACGTAGAAATACCAATTGCTTAAAATAGCGCCACCTTTGGAAAAATTTCAATGCCTTTCAATTTGCAAAGAGAAAATCAGGCGACAGTGCTTTTTATCAATAGATGACAGCACATACACTGATTCGAAATATCCTGGGTGTTCTTAATATAAGTGAATATTTGTAAGTTTACGTAATATAATATTTAGTGACAGGAGCTATTGTAAGTTTGAGCTCGTATGGGTAGATTCCAACTTTGGTAACAGTCACAACAATCGGGCACAAGTCACACACGGTCAACTGGTCGCAAACTAGGATTCTCTGTACTATGGGAATCAGAGACTAATATACACACATAATATGTGCATTTAAATAAATACATATACTGGGTGTTAGGAGACCGCTTCTGAAAACGAAGACAGACGATAGTGCTAATGACACCTTTGGTGATGGGACGGAAAATAATAATTTGATCCTGACATAAAAAAGTCATGTAATTTAAAACGTTTTAATAGCATTATTTACGCTAGATTATGTTTGTACAGCTAAATGAAACCATAGTTTCATAAATCATACATTAATTTACTAAAAAAAAACCAGCAATGAAACACAAAATCAAAAACAGCTGATGCCCGGGTGAACGAACGCATGGACGTGGCGCGGCACAGACTCGCGCGATCGCACTAATATTTATTTACAACATTTGTCTAAATAACTCCATCATCAAAGGTGTCATTAGTACTACCGTCTATCGTCTATCTTTGTTTTCGAAAGCGGTCTCCTAAAACCCAGTATAGATGTTAAACAACCTTAAAGAGAGCAAACGAGCATGCTTAGGTATCACTTTAGTCTTTTTATTTTTTTCCTGCCTAATCTGATAGCCTTGAGAGGCTTTTCAGCGTAACCTTAACTAGTAGGTGAGCTCACGGGACTCAAACCGGAGTGATGCTAACACTGCCCTAGCAAGAGCAGTGCTTCGCAGAATCTACCGCCGGATCGGAAACGCGACCCACTGAGAAGATCCGGCGAGAAACTCAGTGGGCCACTTTAGTCAGGGCGCTAGCTACTGCACCACCAAATCATTCGATGAATGATTTGGTGGTGCAGAACAAAAGTTGGTTGTTTTAGTTTGTCCTTATTTTTATGAATCAGTAAAATAATGTGTCCACTTCAGTTGTGTTATTACATCATCATCATCATCAGCCCTTATCTGCCCACTGCTGGACATAGGCCTTCCCCAATGCCTTCCACATAATACGGTGCTCCGCCTTCCGCATTCAACGACTTCCCGTCGTGCGCACTATGTCGTCGGTCCACCTGGTTGGAGGACGCCCCACGCTCCTGGTACCCATCGATAATTATTTTATCAATGCTATCTTATTCCCGATCTTGCGGAAAGAATGGAAAGCAGTCGACGTCGCCCAAAACACGTCATCTCGGATCCTCACGATCCACTGACGGTGCTTCTAGGTACTTCAAGCACCGGTCACCGTTCTCGTCGAAGGGCTCGACGAGTAAATTAACTCTCAGACACAGCCCACTGAGTTTCTCGCCGGATCTTCTCAGTGGGTCGCGTTTCCGATCCGGTGGTAGATTCTGCGAAGCACGCCTCTTGCTAGGGTTCGTGTTAGCATCGTCGTCAGGTTGTGAGCCCCGTGAGCTCACCTACTAGTTAAGGTTCCGCTGGAATAGCCTCTCTAGGCTACCAGCTTAGGTAGGAAAAAAAAAATGCTATCGTCTAAGAATCTCTATCGTCTCTACATATTGCAACCAGCCTTCATTACCTTCCTTCGATTCCCGTACATTCTCGATCCATTAAGCTTCACATTCCTGAAATTATCCATTAGGACAATTTTCTAGTACCAACTGTCTAAAATAAAACCATGTAATACTTTAAATACTTTATTAATTTAGTAATAAAACATTCTTAAAATATAAATGAAACTACAAAATGCGATTAAAGTAATATTAATTATATTTTATTTTGGACATTATATTGGGTGTAGCAGATTATTTTATATGTGTAGTCGTTTATATTATATTGTATATTTAATTTTCTAAATAGGTTAAGTTAGTTAACTTAAGTTGATGTTTTCTGACGAAACTAATTCACGTTCTTCGCTCTCGAGCTTTCTATTCATCTACATTGGGTATAAATTTTGCTTTAATTAAGAAAGCTCGACTATAGTTTCGGCTTTAACTAAAGTCAAACCAATATCAAGCCCGTCCTGTCCCGCCCGAGTCGGAAACTCTTTTCATTTAGCTCATTTTAACTTTATAGTCTTCATTTTAATGAGTATAGAGATACGAAACTAGTATACTGAAATATTTATGCAGATGATTTATACCTACTCTATTTGTGACTTCAAACAAAAATGGCGGTGTGCTGGACCTTTAGCGCTAATAGTAGGTATTGTTGAATCAACAACAAGTTGGATCAAAAGGGAAAACATAAAGAGGCCGACTCTATGAAAGTTGGGCTGGAGACATCGTTAGATATCCAGCTAGATGATTAAATGATAAAGACGCCTGGGCTGATAAATTAAATGAGCAATTTGCGACACCGGAGGGCGCCACCAGTTCAGGGTTTTTTTTCTTAGATGGTTGGACGAACTCACGGCCCCTTGGTGTTAAGTGGTTACTGGAGCCCATAGACATTTACAACGTAATTGGGCCTAATTCACTGTGGAACGATTATGATTACCTAAGTATACCTATACCTACAATTAGACGTGCCTTTGGGTTAGATTCGCTTAAGGATTTGAGGAAGAATGTAACACGTTGCATTTTCCGTCGAAGAACTGCCAGTTGATTTGAAGATGCAGAGACTTCCACTTAAATTGGAACCACCGAATACAATGTCATGTCATTAAAACAATTAGTTATAGAAGGCTCCTCGCGGCTCATGTTGTACCTTAACAAAAAGTATCCTGTTTTAATAATGGTATGCGTTATTCCAATCTAACTTAAATTATTTTCATCTAGAAGATTGCACAAAGTGGGAATGAGTTGCTCGCTCCGGGCATTTCAATATTGTAATAATTGTTACGTTATAATTACTTACTGTTATAATTATGTTATAATTACTTATTGTAAAAATGAATATTTAAAATAATCTAATATTAAAAAATATATATCAAATATTAAAAAAAAAAGACATGCCCGCTGAGTTTCTTGCCAATTCTTCTCAGGACGGAGGCTAGTTCTTGTGAATTGGCGGTAGTTCTTTTGACGTTCAACAAGTATGTACTTTCATTTATGTTGAATAAAACTTTTTTGATTTGATTTGATTTGATTTAATCTCTGTGTGCCTGTAATGAAGAATATTAAGTTCTGTTGTTTTTTCGTTGAATTTATTTTACCGGTAGCAATAGCCAAGCAGCTTGAAGAGTGGGCCGGCAACACACTTGAATCTTCGACTTTATGCCTCAATGTGGGTGGTGGAATTGGTGTTCCCATTTATATATCTATATTTTTATTGCTTAGATGGGTGGACGAACTCACGGCCAACCGGATGTTAAGTGGTTACCGGAGCCCATAGACATCTACAACGTAAATTTTGCAACCCACCTTGAGAGATGAGTTCTAAGGTCTCAGTGTAGTTACAACGGCTGCCCCAACCTTCACACTGAAACGTATTACTGCTTCACGGCAGAAATAGGCGGGGTGGCGGTACCTACCGTAGACCAACGAGCATGCGAGAAATGGATATCAGCACCAGTTCGTCACCATACGACATACCGTTGAAGACTCACATGTGTTTTATAACCTTGAAACCGCAACACTTGACTGCGTAGCGTGGTGCTACCAACCGCGCGGGTTCGGGTGTTCCCAACAATGAGACATGTGATACGAGAAATAAACTATGAAAATATAACTACAAATTAATACATAACAACACCAGCGGACCTAGCTGTTTATAGGTATGTAAATATGTACAAGCTTAAGGAATATATTTATCGATATATCTATATATACCTATACTTTTGTTTTTTATGAATGTACCTATGTTAAAATTTATGTACCGAATATATCTATAATTGTTTCCTCTGCATCATTTTTGGTTGATGATAGAAATTGCCTGAGGCAATTAGTAGGCCGATTAACAAAATAAACAGTATAAAAAAAAAGAATAGTTGCAATGCGAGGAATGCCTTTTGGTAGATACAGGGTGCGTTCAAAAGATCAGACCAGAACTGTTTTTTATATTTTACAAGTTGCAATTTAATGGATAGAACTGATACTTTAAATTATAAAATTAATGAGACATACTGTATTTTGATGTTGCTAAAACTGCGTGTCAGCCCTAGTTAATAAATACATATTAAAGAAAAAAAAGCTTATGAAAAATGACAATAGGTAAAAATAAATAGGAAAAAACAACAGTATGCTAGTTAAAACACAATCCAAAATTGTTTGTAGTCAAATTTTTATGCGAAATATCTTCAAAACTCTAAGCTCTCAGAAGGACGATTAAAAAGTTTTTCTTAATCATATCAAAGTTACTAGGGTCCCAATATTAGCTACTTAGTATCGCATTACATTCAAGATCCACAATCTGGCAAAGTTGGTAAAGATTCTTATTGAATACAAGCCTTCTTTATTTAAGTTTAAAACATAACTACATTCGAGTTTAGAGACTTACATAAATATCTTCAAAATTTGATGATGATAATAAATAGTATTACAAAAAAGTTGTATGCTTTTTATTACGAAAAATATATGATAGGGCTTGATTTATTATTTGATATTTATTATTTGATTTGATATTAGTATTTAAAATCGATCCTACTTGAATATCGAAACAGAGCGTAATTATGTATGAGTACCTGAGAATATAAGGTCCGTTTGTACCTACACAATAGATATAGGCCTTTATAACACTTATCTTTTATATATGTAAATATTGTAAGCGTCGCATGTGTGACGTGGCTAGCGTGCAATATTTACCGATCAACAATTAACTCCAGTCCACTGTATTATTATTGAAACGACCTTATGGCTGTCTCCGGAGGCGATGCGGCGATGTTGACGAGTAGTCCACATGTTCACAGTTTCGCAATACAAATTCCGAAGCGACTGTCGAGGTGGGCCCCGGCCGCAGCGCGCTCCCGGCGCCCCTCCACGCGTGGAGGCGCACCCGCCGCCCTCCGGCTTCCACGTCGACCAATGGCAGACAGGACTCCGCCCCGGGGGGCAGGGCGGGGCCTGGGGCGTCGAGTGGCTGCGACCCGGCCGCCGTCGCCACTCTCGCCCCGAGAGCCACTAGAGGCTGAGCCGTCGAGTGGCATCGAGTGTCGGTCGGTCGGATGTCCGCGGAGGGCGGCGGCTACTCGCCGTGTCCGGCGGAGGCGCTGCCGGAACTGAGCGCTGCGGAGCTGGCGATGAGCCTGTCGCCGAAGTCGGCCTTGCTGCAGCAGAACCTCTCCCAGCTGCAGCTCCAGCACTCGACTCCGTTCTCCGTGACCGATATCCTGTCGCCGATAGAGGAGTACCGCAAGCTGGAGCTGGCGAACAACCCGCCGTCGCCGTACAGGTGCGTCGATCGATAGGGGGGGGCGGCCCTCCACCCGCTGATTTTTCGAGTGCCGAAGGTCCCGACGAGAGTGCTTGAGTCCGGCTCCTAGTCGAAGGATATAGTTCGGTGACGTTTGTTTGTGCAGGTATGTTGTGATTGCCGGTCAAGTGATGATGCCATGTGGATATGCGGTCGCTCATGTGCGGTACTCGACGCCGGAGTTTCGAGATCGGTTTTTAAATTAATTTCGACTTGTCATAATTACGCTGTCGAATATATCCATATTAAATTCATACAACTAAAAGCTACTACTAAGTAAGTTTATAAAAGTAATCAATTTAAAATACCTAAATCGGGCAAGTGTTTACCAAATTAAAACATCGTATCACAGAACGGCTTAGGAAATAACTAAAATAGAAAATTATTTACGTTGAACGAAACAAAACGATATTCGTAATTTAAATGACTATTCCGGTTTAATCCCGCCTTTTTTTTTCAATGATTAAGCAATTTTTGACGTTTAGAATACTTTACAGTTTTCGTAGTCACGGACGACTAGAGCCGAATATGTCTACGTTTCTCGAAAATCGATAATGCTTATTCGAAAATCGATAACGTTTAAATAATATTCAACCGATTAAAATTTAAAAACAATAATATCGAAGACAACTATATTTTTATTAACCTTGAAGAAATCCTGAGTGGCTTTCCTCGTAGTTACGTAAGCGTAGGTACTTAACTACCTACATCAGTGCAAACATACTTAAAAAGTACAAATAACTTTAATTCGTTCATGGTCAATATATTTTTAAAGTGAACAAACATTTCTCGGAATCGAACAAGTTTATATTCAAAATATCGATGATTAACAAACGCTTTTTGATAATCAAATAAATTTAGCTACCGTATTGGTTTCAAATCGAAAAACGTACGACTATTAAAAAAAATAATGATTCAATTTTTTAAGATATTTTAATTTAGTACAGCATTCATATTGAATGATTCTTTGTTTGATATACAGTCAAAACCGTTTACTGCGACATCGGTTAGAACAACATGCCGGTTATAATAACCTAGAACAAAGGTCCCGGCTGAATGTCATATGACCGCCTTATTAAAAATATTGCTTTCTACGACATTGGTAATAACGACATACCTCATAAAACGACCACATTTAACTAATATTTCGGAGAATTAGATCTGTTAGAACGACCGGCTAAGCTGTATTGTAAACAATTTGAATAGGTATCCACATTTGTCTTCAATGGCTTTTAAAATCAGGAGAGAAAACAATAGGATTTAGTTTAGTGTAGGGTCTTTTCTAATTCTTAGAAACAAAACACGTGCATGCGGTAGTCAAAGCCCGCTTCTTCATATCGCTTCAGTTAGTTTGTTAATTATCTATACACAATACGCACCAAAACTTTGTGGAGTTATTCGTGAAACTTTCAAAATGTCGCAAAGAAAAATATGTAAAACAAATTAATATTGAAGAAAAATCGCGTATTATATAAATATATTTTTCCAATAATTCCCTATCGATTTGTTTGTACTTGCGCGATACACATTAAACATTACCGGTTGTTACGACTATCGGTTTTTACGACTGAATATGAGCAGTCCCTTCGATGTCGTTATAACAGATTTTGACTGTATAACAATTTTTAAATTAATTTTAAAGTCAGAAGGTAATATGGTCTTAATGGCGAGTGATCATCGATGCTCACACAGATATAATCAGGTCAGGAGGTATAAATTTTTTTTACTGTTCTGTATACATAGGGTTCTATCGAACTATCAAAATGCGTTGCATTTTCAATAAGCATTTTCATAAAATAATTTGTTAGTAGTTTTCAATAAAATTACGTGGCAACATTGTTTCAAGACGCAAAGTGCGAAACTCAGCCAAGGCGACAAACAATTAGGAACGCTAATTCACATGATTAATTAGGAAAACGCTGTCCATAATGACTAAAAAAAACCCATTAGGTACATATTATTATATACCGTGAGATAGTATTTTGTTAGTGATGTCCTATTGCTACTTAATGAATGTTTGATTTAAAAATAACTCTCATCCTAAAATAATGGTATATTCTTATTTTAATTACGACAGTTAGGAAGCACTCGAAAATTTAAACGAGTACCTAATTCCGCAATTAATATCTGCTTTGACAGCAGTGGCTAAACGTCAATCGAACAATTTAGTACCGTATCTAGACTTTGGTTTTTTTATAATTTAGGATAACGGGGAAATAAATCAAACGATAGCAAATAAAAACGTTGTAAACAGATAGTAAAGTGTTTAGGTCGTTTCACTAGTGGCCTCGTGATTCGAAATATTAATTCGTTTTTTATAAAATGATGTATTAATTTTCATTCTATTTTATTAGTTCAGTATTTATATTTTATTTATACGATAGATATTTATAAAATTGTTTTTCTTTATTTTTATTGCTTAGATGGGTGGACGAGCTCACTGCCCACCTGTTGTTAAGTGGTTACTGGAGCCCATAGACATCTACAACATAAATGCGCCACCCACCTTGAGACATAAGTTCTAAGGTCACAGGTATAGTTACAACGGCTGCCTCACCCTTCAAACCGAAACGCATTACTGCTTCACGGCAGAAATAAGCAGGGTGGTGGTACCTACCCGCGCGGACTCTCAAGAGGTCCTACCACCAGTAAAGAGTGTTTTCCGTTTTGATCGATTCTTTGGTAGAGTAAAAGGCCAAGGTCCAATCTCTGTTGTATTGCACCTTCAGAATTGAAGTGCTGAAGCTTATCTAATTTTTTTAAGAAAATGAGTTTTATACTTTGAACGTCTTATAAACGTGTATCTATTCTATCAGTTTATCAAATGAAACAGCCTATTTTAGACTAGAAAAGCACAAGTACTCATTCCGTTTCTTTAAAATCAACCGCATACCTTAAAGTATTAAATCGAAATAAAAAAGATATATAATTCTTCAATAACAGGTAGGCAGCGGCTTGGCTCTGCCTCTGGTATTGCTGACGTCCATGAGCGACGGTGACCACTTACCATCAGGTGGGCCGTATGCTCGTCTGCCTGCAAAGGCAATAAAAAAAAAACATTTTTGGTGTTTCCTAAAAAACAAGAATTTTTGAATTAAGCCAATTTAATTTTAAACATGCGATATGAGGTGTCGGCGTGGCCTTACTGAGTTCTCTAACGGAAAATAACTTTTTCTATCACTCATACAGTACAAATCATACGATTATATCTCGGAGTTTTCTTATTTATCAATAACTAGCTGACCCGGCAGACTTCGAAGTGCCTCAATTGATAAATAAAATACCTAAACTTTTGTATAAAATAAACTTAAAACAAACAAAAGGAATCCGTCCGACGGGGACACATCGAAGGAAAAACAAAATTGTTATTTTTATTTAATTCCGAGCATTTTCATTTTTTTTTACCTTTCAAACCTTCTCTGGACTTCCACAAATAATTCAAGACCAAAATTAGCCAAATCGGTCCAGCCGTTCTCGAGTTTTAGTGAGATTAACGAACAGCAATTCATTTTTATATTTATACCAATAATAATGTATTGAAGTGATTCTTACGATCGTCATAATATTCGCCTTATCATTGCCGTCGTTGACTATTCCCCGAATCCTGATCACGCAGGAGCCAGTCACCGTCGACGCCCTAGACACCTCCTTACGGATCCATTCGCTCTAACACTAGGAGCAGGCCTAGGGACCCCAGTAACCGTACTCGTTGAACTCGGCAAAGAGTTCGACGTGCAACCTAACCTAAACATCAGCTCGCTGAGTTCTCGCCCGATCTTCTCGGCGGGTCGCGATTCCGATCCGGTAGTAGATTCATTCGAAAAGCAGCTACTCCTGAGTTGCTAGGTCTCCTTTGTAGGCGCTCTGGTGGCTGTTAGCAAATCCCACCCCTCCTGGCTAAGCCTTTTCTCATCCATCAGGCTTGGTGATACTGGAAAGGCCTCCGGGCCACCAGTAAACCCGTTAATCATATAAAAAACTTACGATTTAATGTCGAGTTTTTTTTATTTGTCATTATATCAGTTGCGACGTTTTGAATACAGTTTTACAGTTCACAGTTACTGTTTACAGTTTTCGTGGTCGTCCGTGACCGAGACCGAGAAATGCGAGATTAAATCGTCAAAATCTTTTTAATTGGGTGTACGATTCGCGTAAAGAAGAAATAATTATATATTTTTATTTTAGTAAAAACCATACATCTTGTTAGTAGTACTTAGTAACTTAAAACATTACACATTAAAACTGACTCTACAAGCGCCTGCTGCAAAGACTATTTACTAGCAGTCCTTTGATCTTGAAATAGCGTTCAGAAGATACATGGTAATGGTAAATATTCAGATGTCATAATATAAACAAGATTTTTCGATTATTATTTTTTCTTACCTATTTGCTGGTAACCTAAGAGGTTATTCCAGCTACGGCCGGAAGGGTAGGTGAGCTCACGGGCTCAACCTGATAGAATTTGCTAACACTAGCCCTAGCAAGAGCAGTGCCTCGCAGAATCTACCACCGAATCGAATTCGCGACCCACTGAGAAGATCCGACGAGAAACTGTGGATTGCGTCTATGGGATTTTTCGAAATTTACCAGACAGACTTTTAGTCCGAATTGAAGCACATTTTTTCTAGATCGTTCCTTTCACTATGCTTCTAGTGTACATTTCAATTATCTTTTCCTGAGAAACCCGGCGGGACTTACTACATAGTATAAAACAAAGTCGCTTTCTCTGTCCCTATACACCTATGTATGCTTAAATCTTTAAAACTACGCAACGGATTTTGAAGCGCTTTTTTTAATAGATAGAGTGATTGAAGAGGAATGTTTATATGTATAATAACATCCATTAAATAGTGGAGAAATCAATAATAAATTACAGTTTCCGAAGCGAAGCGAGGGCGGGTCACTAGTAAAAAATAAAAGGAACAAATAGGTCAGTATGCGTTTTTGTTCCACGTGTTTTTCTTAATCACACGGGCTTA